TAATTAGGCAGCTACCAAAGGCCCTAGGAAACAGCTAAGTCATCGTAATTCATACGGTACAGCCGTTTCTCTCCTCCGAAACGAATCCGAAACATCTTTCCCGCAAAAACTGCCCTTTTTAGGTCATCTCGGAGTTGTACCACCTGCCAAGGGGAGTTTTCCTTCAAATACAAAAGGATATTTGTTCAGTGATTTCAAAATATAATGTAACAGCGCCTTAGTGTGTAAATCTATACGCGTATCTCATGAAACAAAGCAAGTTCCAACCGAGGCCGCCGAAGAACTGGACAAGGAGACTACAGTCAAACCTCTCGAAAGCGACCACCCAAAATGCGAAGACTTAGTGGTCGCTAACGGGAGGTGGTCTCTTACGAGAATCGAACCACGGGAGGTTTCTTTGAGAAGAAAACCGTACACATCTACTTTAAGGAAGAGAATTTATTGCATGCAATTTCCAAGTTACGATATGTGCAGTTCCATGTTGATGTTGTTTCTACCACAAGGGATCGCTTACAACAGTTTAAAAACAATGCAAAATCATTAAACCGTCAGCCCCAATTAGTGGTCGCTGACGCTTGCAGGAGATATTCCAGCTGGAAGACTTAAACTGGGTGGGTTTTGGTGTTTTGGATAGGTGGTCGCTCAAGGGAGGTAGTCGCACATGGAGGTTCAACTGTACTCCAACGGAGTAAATCCCTTTCACGACGATGCGACTAGGATTTGTCCATGGAAGATAAGATTCCTTGTTCACCTCTTTTGAGCTGCTCTAATCAACTCCCACCCATGTCGAGTGCTTGCAAAACGTAGCATCATCTTGAAAAGAGAAGTATTAGAAAGGTCATCCTTGACGCCCCTGGCATATCGCAGTATGCGGCAACGAACTTGTATCGACGTAAGTACCATTTACTAACCGGGCAGTAAGGTGACGCAGGGTAAAAGCGTAACTTGACTACAATTCTCAGTTTACAACAGACCCGAGTTTTGTTCAAAGAAATGTCTGCTTTTGCTCAGGAGTATTAACGTCAGTTCCCGTAATGTCCCAGCTCGCGCCTTCACACCGGAACGTCCGATCGAATTATTATTTAGTTGATAGCTACCCTTCTCTTCCTCTTCCCAACTTATCTAGGAAGATCGAAGGGCCTCTGCTCGCAGGGTAGTTGATAGCGACTAAGGAGCTAAGTAACATAACGAGGTAAGTAAGTGGGATCGGCGGTTTTATTTACGCCTAACCGTTTCCCAAAGTAAAGAAGGAAAGAGCTTCAGACAAAAGGGAAAGAAGACCCCAAATCGAGGCCCTATGTGGCGAGTATATTTGTTGTTTTAGGCTGATTCTGTGCTAAAGTCATTACTTACTGCCTTTAACCAGTCAAAAAATGTTCAGTGTAGAGTTACATGTGGGGTATGAAGAAGATATCATTTTATAAGGGAGCACTAACCAAAAATATCTTTTTGGGTGATGCATTTAAACTTGAAAAAAGTTGGCCCATTTTTTTCAATTTTCAGTCCATGTCCATCCTGGCTATCAGTAGCAACAGAGCGTGCCTAAATATAGTCTTACATAACAAAACTAGACCATTATTTTTGAACTGAATTGATGTCAAATGAAGACCATATTTGGTTTTTAAAATGAACTAGCAAATAGCTTGGCATAGCCCCTTTAACTCTTTTTTGACGGCCAATTTTAGTGGAAGAAAACCCAGCCTTTTTGGACCAGTTTTCAACCAGTTAGTAGCCTGGATAACAGGCCTATATTTTTTTGCGTTTTTGCAGGCGAGCGAAGGCAAGCGCGAAGTGAGTGAGAAGCGCCAGACAGGCGCGATCGGGAAGACGCAGAAAAAACAACGGCCTGTCCACATACCATTGTTTGTTGCATTCCTCCCCAGACCTACCCCTTAATGACCCTCCTCACGCTGTTCGCGCTTGCATTCGCTCCGGCTTCGGGCTTGCCTTCGCACGCCTGTTATACAGGCTAGCAGGAGCCGATTACTGAGGCTAGCCAGTTAGCATGATGTGGGAATGGCTGAAAAAGAGATTTGCAACACAAGACTGCTAAATTGGACGTACACTAATTTAGAAGCTTTTTTGGCGCATTCATAGAAGCCATAATTTGGACGTCTCTTACGAACCTATATCGATCTTTCTCTCCGGCTCTCTTTTTTCCCTTTGCCTTTCTTCTTCTTCTGTAGCTCCGGCACTTGATCGTCTTCCCACAGTCTTTGTTTTGCAAGGAATTTTGGCTGGCTAACTTTTCAGGAAAGGGACATTTAATTAATCTGTAAAGAATAGAAGGTGAATAGAAAAATTGAAAGTAGATTCGTTCACCCCGAATGTTGCTTTTTTTTGTGTGTGTGAAACTCCGTCGAGATATATGAAGGTAGGTGAAAATTTGGTGAATGAGGTACCAGTGGAAAAATCCATCCTTGCTGATTTTGATCAGTTCATCATCCTGGTGAATAAATGGAAAGCTAAATGGGTACATGAAGGATACCGTAAAATTCCGAAAATAAGCCCCTCCTTGTATAAGCACCTTCAAATATAGGTCCCCAAACTTGTAACGCAAAAAACCGTCCGTTAAATCGCCCCTCCATATAAGCCCCCCGGGGCTTGTACTTGGAAATTGCCCTCAAATACAAGGTAAAACAAAGCAAAAACGGTAAATTTCCTTCCAACTATAAGGCTAGCCCAATCGATTTTGAAACACAAAATTCCCTCCATAGATAAGCCCCTCTGAATATAAGCCCCTCCTAAAATAAGCCCCTCAAAAAGGGCCTTTGAAAAATATAAGCCCCGGAGCTTATTTTCGGAATTTTACGATATTCTTGGTTCAAAAAAAAAAAAAAACCAAAACGACCCCAGTGCAGTACTCCCTCCATCTGATTTATTTTTTCTATTGAGCGTTCAATGAAGGTTTCAGCTAATCAATGGCACAATTACGGGTCGGTCCACTTGGCGATCTTTGACCATCTTTGGGTGTTCGAAATCATGTCTGGACTTAATAGTGTTGAACGCACGAACAGTGTAGAGGCAGACAGAGGTAACCTATAAATTTGCAGCCGTATCTCTCAACCCCAGAGATTGCAACGGCCGCCGAAAGTTACAAGGATTTGTAAAGGAGGAGCCCATGACATATGCCCCGTGAGGAGACTAAACTCTTTCCACAAGGGAGTTACGGTTGAGTCAAGTCCTTGTAAATTTTGAAATACATAAACAAGTCCATTGTCTGAGGTAAATTTAAAACGCATAAACGGGAGCTTCGCTTTTAGCTCTGACTAAATCCGTGTATTACTTTACAACATACTGGAAAATGCTGTTCAAACACACTGCCCATTACCTCGATCATTTTTGCAGGTTTGTCTTGTTCACTTCTTGCATTGCATTTAATCAATAAGATCTTCATCTTCCTGTATCAATTTCTTCGCTACTTGTAAACTTAGAAAATTTTATTGTCTTGTCAATAAATATTTAGTAATTTGTATGCTTTCGACAGCGTAAAATAATAATAAATAATCATAATAATGATGACAATAGATAATCATAATAATTCAACTTATATAATACGTTCATAATTTACAGATATATGTGAAGTACGAATTAAACACTATATAGCCTGCGAAAACATCCGTTTCTCCTCGCTCTTCGCCGCTGGGGACGTTAGTAAACCAGCTATCTAAAGTGAATTGTGATAGTAGTCTGTAGAATACGTAATCATGTCGCAATCCCAAAGTCCCAGTTGATTTGATGTTTCATCTGTAAATGGTGCTCAGTAATGTGATTTCAAAAGCAGGTTGAGTTTGATCGTCCGGGTGAACGTAGTCCTGAATAGGACTGTTGTTGTTGATAGTGACTAACGTTCCGACAATCTGTGCGGTTTTCAGGTCAGTGAACTCAATAAACTGACCTCGCTCCCAATGTGTCGCTTCATAGCTCAGTTGGTAGAGCAACGCACCGGCAAAGCGGAGGTCACGGGTTCGAATCCCGTTGAAGCCCTGATTTTTTTCAGGCTTCTTCTTTCCAATTGCTTAAATTGGAAAATTTACTGCGATGATCATTCTTCACTTAAGGTCCATAATGTCGTCTATAGGTAGTGGTAGCTCAACAGTAGAGTTCTCAATAGCGTTCTCAGTACAGTCTAGAGCCAGTTGAAGTGGAATACCGGTGAACAGCGATTTCACGTCAAAGGACACTAGTTTGTGGTCGTCCGGTATCTGTATTGTCTTAATGGCGTCAATAAAGTTTTCGTCACCATTTCTCGTCTGCACTGTCTTAATGGCGTCAATAAAGTTGATGTCGCCATTTCTCGTCGCTTGTTTGTGTTCGGTCAGTCGCGTGCTAAAGTTTCTGCCGGTTTCACCAATGTAGGTAGCCAGGCAGTCGCAGCATTTGATCTTGTATACTGCTCCCTGTCTGTCCTCCGATTTGTCTTTGTCCCTGACATTAGTAAGTAGTCGTCGTAAAGTGGTTATCGGTTTGCTTACAACACTTAGATTGTAAGGTTGTAGTATACGGGCGATAGTTTTCTCTTTACATTTTCTTGGATTGCAAGGAATTCCATTTGTCTTTGTCCAATCTAAAAACTGTGACACTAAGCGATCAGAGAAGTCTCCCTCCTTCCATACAGCAGCAATAATTGTCGAATCATCAGCGTACTTAAGTAGTGTGTCATGATTACCTAAAGGGATGTTAATATCACTGAGAAAGATGTTAAAAAGTTAAGGACCGCTAAACGCTACTATACCTTTGTTAACCGTGAGTCGCACTCAAAGTTGTTAAACATACCCTTTGCGTTCTGTCCTTTAAAACGTTCAAATACCAGTTGATAATATATGGATTCAATGGGAGCTTTTTTAATTTATTCATATTTCACAGAGTCAAAAGCTTTGCTGAAGTCGATACCGAAAAGACGAACTGCTTTAAAATCAGCCGGGTTATCTAATTTTGATCCTATGTTGAATTGACAGGAAAGCATCAGTACAGTTTCCTCCTTTTCTGTAGAGGAACAACGAGGTGCTGAGGTGACTTTCAGCAATAGTCTCACGGGCATGGCAGTGGTAGACAATTTTCTCGAAAGCCCTCGCTATGACAGGATTCATATTAATACTGAGTAACGTCCACTTTGGGAAGAGGGGTGATAATCGCTCGCTTCCACGGTGATAGCAAACACTAAGTGGAGATTGAGAGATTCCAAACCATGCATGCTCCTTCCAAACCCAGCAAGGAATCGGGTCGGGTCCAGCCGCAGTTCCTTTGAGTGCCCTAAGTGAATTCCAGACCTGCCGTTCAGAAATAACCAGGATCTCCACCTCACTGCTGATTGTGACAGGAGTTGGTTCGATGTAGAAATCATCTGAGCAGAGCTTAGCGAAGTTATCACTCAAGTCCACCAAACAGCTGTTACCAAATAGCCTCCTTCAGACCATGGGCAAAAGGAGACATGAGTTTCGACTAAATAAAGGTTAAATTTTTGTTTAATAAAGTTGAATTACTTGCATTGAAGAAGTCTTTTTTTTCGTTTCTGGTCAATTCTACCCGCATATTTCTTGTAGAAAGCCTGGAAACACACTTTGCTTTGATTCAGCACAGGTAACCCAAGCTCACGAGTGGCTACAATGTCTATGAAGCATTTCAACTTAGAGAATTTTATTCCATTAAAACAGAAGCATGAGAAGTAGTGAATTCTAATTATAACTTTTAATTAAATACTATCCGTTTACTTGGTTATTTTAAATATAATTAAATTTATAATTGTAATAGTTTAAAAGCAATACCATTTCTGTATACAGCTATTTCAAAAAACGCTGTCGGAAGAAAAGCAAAAAGCCTCTAAGCCAAGACCGAAAAGTAATAATGACCTGCTTCAGGACCCATAGGAGTTTTGCGGCCACTCAAGTATGTCCCTGAGAATAGTATGGAACGTCGTTCTGTAAGTGAGAGTACTAAACGCTGGACAACTCTTAAAACAGAGGTGGTTGGAAGGCCTTCAAACAGTAGGGAGCTTAAGCAAATACAATGGCGACAAAAGAGACCGTGAGCAACATCTAGGTTTAAATTAACAAAACAACAACTTAATTTACACGTGCATCACCCTTTTTTGTCCGTGGCCGTTGTTGCCCGACTACGGCTTCAAATGTCTCATGTTTTATAGAAGTGAACAGCAGACCACAATTTTCCTTTCTTTTCTTTTTTTTTTTTTAACTCAAAACTAGTCCTTTAGAATTCATTTCCAGAGAAATCGCCACCATTTAAAACATTGAACGAGGTGGAATAAAGGCGATGTGGCTCACATGCTGGTGTAGTGCAAAATATTACCTTAAGTAGACGTTGGCGAGCTTTAATTAATTATTGAGAAGGAACCATTATTCGGAAAAAAGTTTGTTTATAATATTTTTTTTCCCCCACTTCGTTACTACGATAAGCAAATTGATAAAATGTAAAATTTAATGTCATTTTTCCTTGCTTATTAGCTGAACAAAATTGCTTTCAAAGATGGGAATAAGCAAGAGTGCACTTCCGACGAAACGTAGTTTTACCTTGCTGTTGTGCTTTTTTTAAAACTAAAATGATAAGTATGGTTCAAATGAATCAGCGACGAGTTTGGTGGCGTGATTGTTTGCCAGCAAAAGGCGGATTTGAAACAACCCACATTACCTTGCGGTCTTATCTTGAAGACTTTTTGCTTTTCTTCCGACATAGCTGTATGGGAATGCTAATAAAGTGTTATGTTATGTTATTATTTAACGGGGGATTGACACAGACAAAGCAAACTACCGCCCTGTCTCAATATTAACTTTGCTATCGAAGGTATTTGAGAAAGTTATTTACGACCAAACTTGGAATGCATTTCATAGCGTTTTGTCCTCAAACTTATCTGGATTTATGAAACTAACTCTTGCTGCACTGCATTGCTAATAATGACGGAAGATTGGAGGAACAGTGTTGATAACAAGGAAGCTGTAGCGGCGGTCGCTGTGGACTTGAGCAAAGCGTTTGAAGGCCTATAGCTTTTCTCCACATACCTTGGAACTGATGTCCACCTACCTGCTAGGTTGTCAACAATGTGTGAGATTAGAAGGCGTATGCTCTAACTTCAAAACAGTTAAATCTGGCGTTCCGCAAGGTTCACTATTGGGGCCGTTGCTGTTAAACATATTCATTAATGACTTGAATTTCTGTGTTCCTAATGTCTCATTGCGGCTGTACGCTGATGACACGACTGCCTACCTGTCTGATGTATCTCCCACCATTCTAGAATTTTCCTTCAACAAAGTTCTTCAGACTCTTTCGTCGTGGTTTGAGTTTAACCATTTAACAGTGAACAGTACTAAGACTCAAGCATTATCTGTTGGACCCTGTGCCTATCATTATTCTTTATTTCCTAATAATGCTAGAATAGAATTTCTCCGATCTATTAAGTTTCTCGGAGTTACTCTAGACAAGGACCTATCCTATAAAGAACACTTATCAGATCAACTAAAGAAAGCCTACGCGAAGGCCTCTGCACTGAAAAGAATAAGGCGTTTTCTTCCTCATGATGCAATGACAAAACTTATATAGACGCGAGTGTTTTACTGGAAATATACCACTCGTAAAATTCATAAAAACTACATCCGGGACCCGAGTGATTTATTTTCCATAATCTCACACGTGAGTTTATCGATGACGTAATTTCAGTAATTTCCCTCTGAAATTTGTAGGCGTCTTGGGTCTTTTGAATTTTAGTTACACATTTTTCAAAGTTTTGTTTATATTTTTTTCATTGTAGAACCCTATTCCATTCAGCGTTATTTCTCAAGATTATTGTAAACAACGTCTTGTATTGCTGTACTGTAAATTTGACTCATCACAATTACTAATCTATTATTTTATCAATGTCTTTTTGTCTATATAATAAAAAGAATATTACACGGCGGCTTGAAGATATGAATTTTATTTTCTCGTGGCAAAAACAATATTTTACTCACTCGCTGCGCTCGTTCGTAAAATATTGTCTTGCCACTCGAAAATAAAATTCATATCTTCGCGCCACCGTGTAATATCCTCTATATATTTTATGTTTTTATTAACAAGTTTTTTATATGTATATATTTATTGAGTTGTTTTTGAAGTTGAATAATATTATATAGCTGTAGTTATTATATATTTTCTTTATACACGTTTGACGCAACGTGTTAAAATAAATGATTGATTGATTGATTGATTGATTGATTGATTGCTGTGTTACTGTGTAACAGAAAAGTTATAAGGGTTTCTACGGGGATTTTAGCGATCGTTATTTACAGGGCACTAAAATGGAAATAAAAATACATCAATACTCCTTACCTTGCCTCCTTGTCTTATTCATGGTATGTTATTAGTATTTCTGTCTTTTCGGCGCGATTCTGGCGAGTTTTAGTCATAGAGAGAGCAACGGCAGAAGAGGTAACCATGAATCAAGCACCTTTCTACGGCAGCTTAGTGGTCACTGATCGAGTGGTCGATCATTGGAAATAGTAATGTCTGTTTGGAATCGTTTTTTTTTTTTTTTCCTTTTCAGAGTCACCTGTATCCCTGACTGAGAAAACATCATCATGTTAATCTCGCTCAACATTTACAGTCACAATTTGTATCATTGTATCTATTTCCCCATCGTAGCAGTATGGATACAGGATAGCTTTGCCACACGAACCTCAATAGTTTAATGTGCTTATAACTAACTTCACGGTTTTCTAGCTCAGCGGTAAGGCATCTGGACTTGCAACCAGAAAGATATAAGTTCGACCTGTTAATTTTTTGCCGTGCAGTCGCCTGTGCATGTGTCATTCTTAGAGATTCACCACTTGTTTCACTGGTCAAAAAAATGCTTCTCACCATCTTTAATTTACAAAAGATTTGAACAACCTCAAGACAGGATTTCAAACTGACAAAGTACTACAAGTACCATCCTCAAGCTAACAAAAACAATTTGTATGAAATGTCACTGGGTCCAGAGGAGTTCTGTTTGTCGTGGGGACATCCAAAACTCTCTTAAAACCCCATTGACGATGGTTATTTCGATCACGTAGTCATTGTCTTACATTTCCGTTCTTTACGCACAGCATATATCCCACAAACCTAAAGGACTGAAGACGCCAAGATCGGTCTTACAGTGTAAAAACCGGAAAGGGAGGAAACAAATTTGGGGCTATTCTGCGAATCCCTATAGCCCTGACGGAATTCAATAAAATAGCCTGATTTTAACTACCAGATTTATTATTTTTGTATGTGCCAAATGCTCTGTAAAGTGTTCAAAAAAGTGCATTCAACATTCATTTTCGACTACCAAAAAATACAGCTTCGAGAGAGCGCTTTCGTGCGATGTGCAGCGCTACAACTGGTGAGGAAATGCTTTGACAGCAAATTCTCCGTGAAGGCAATGATTACAGACGCGTCAAAGGTAGGGGGGGGGGGGGGGGGGGGGGAAAACCCCCTCCCCCACACTTGCGAACACACTCGTGTTGGGGAGGGGGGGCGCCATAGAGGTGTGGAAGCTATATGTTAGCAGAAAATGGGGGGGAGGAGGAAGAAATGGGGGGGGGGGGGGGGGGGGGGGGGGGGGGGGGAGGATGGCGAATCCTCTCGTCCACACTTCTGCATACACCATTGGTCTTGGGAAAAAAAGAACTGAATGCCTAATACATATTAGATACGGTAAACGAATTTGAAGAAACGAGAGTTGGTAATGATGTGATTAAAGGGCAACATTTTTCCTTAACAGAGATAGGGGTATATTACCATCGTGCAAGGTATTTCGGGCTGCAATCAGTTTATTTTTAAAGCAAGAAATAGTCGCAAGAAATGGCAAGGAAAAGACGTTATCGAATTTCAGTTTTTAATTAAAGGCCCTAGAATGTCATAAGCTCAAAAAAAATACCCTGCAAAATCACAGTTGATGGTTATTACCTTACTAATCTTTGTATTAAATTAGCACTGAGAAGCTAAGCATTAATTAATTTGAGTACTTGGTGAAAAATTCACTAATCAAACTAAAATAGTTGCCTACGAATACGTCCTGTTGTGTTTTCTGATTTCAGTTTTCGTGCACAGTATTATTAATCCAGTCGATGAATGGGTAAACCCTAGTGTAGTATCCATAGTGATTTTTTTGAGCACACCCCTCCCCCCAGCTGATTAAGCCAGTAGCAACCCACCGATGGCCATTTCCTCTCTTTACTTCACGAACAAAGGCTCCTCCACTGTCGCCAAAACAAGTGTCATTTCCTCCTTTTCCGTTCCCTGCACAAAAAGTCACTTTCAATTTAACGATTTTCTTTGTTGCGTTTAAACACAATCTGTCCTGTTGTATTTCGAACGGGGAATATTTAAGAACTTTCGAGTGGTCGGAATTTCTCTCCCCTTCGGAAGGTTTTGTCGAACCCCATCCAGATGCAAAACCATATTTCGTTGGAGTCGCCAAGTCTCCTTCCTCGCTTTTTGGTAAACAAACAGTTCGAACAAAATCGCCAAGTTCAACGGGTTGTTTAAGTTTGACGAGGGCAATGTCACTCTCGAATGTTGCTTTCCTGTAGCCATGATGAACAAAAATCTTTTCTATGGGCACTTCTTGTTCTGAGTCTTCATTCTCGTCCAAGTGGTAGTCACCAGCTTTTATTCGGTACCTAGGGAGCAACAGGTACCTTTGAAATGAATATATACTTATCCTTGTTCAGCCCACGGGCAACAAAAGATACCCATTCTCTCCTACAATGAGCTATTTCTGGTCAGCCAATTTGATTGGCGTCATGATCACTGCTGATCGATGCATAGGGAAACCTAAATATTCTAACGCCTGCTGTGTTTAAGCCAAATTGTAGTGACCTAGATTACTTTAAAATAGAACAATAATAACGATAAGTGCGTTCGAGCAAGAAGAACGCACTTTGAACTTAACGGAAAATTTCAGGAGTTTCTGTTTCGACACACATTTGCCTTGCTTTCAGTATTGGCCTCCCTTACGTGCGCGGTAATCACGTAGTGAAATTTTCTTCATCTTTTCGCCTTCGCCCTTGTCAGCTCGTGGTGGATCTTATTTATTTATTCATCTCTTTCTTTCTTTCTCTCTTTATTTATTTTCTTTCCTCTTTTTCTTTTTTCTCCTTTACCCTTATTAAGTAAAAGCGATGGTAAGGAAATAGCAAGCACAAAATTGCATGAATTGTAGAACAGCGGTTTTCGTGGTCGAAGTCTAAAAAATGGCATGATTTTTAACCCGAAATTCGCTGATATCAACTCTCCTTGCTTTCGCTAACAAAGCCGTATGGGTTCCAGTAAGTCTAATTTCGTCAAAGCTCAATTTGGAGATCGGAGAGAAACAAACTTTGGTGCGTATTTTTTATTGTTGCGTCTTTAATATTCCCATGCAATGTGCGTGCGCGCGTATAAATGCACTATTATTCGATTTTCTAATTGCAACGCTTTTACTACTCACTATACGGGATAGTTTTTGCCAAGGCATGAAAACCATACCACATAGGGCTTCTCTTTACACGTAAAAGCGGCAATTTTCGGTACCACTGTAACGGAGAGACGCAGCATCGCCCCGATCTCAAAATTGAAGGGTCACATATCGGATAGGTGTTCATACCATACCGGTATAGTATGAACATAGCCTAAGATCTGCCATTACCTCCAGTAAGATATAAAATAACTGGGTGAGGTTAAGATGTTAAGTTATCAAATTGTTGGATGAGGTTTAGCATGATAGCACGAACTATAAAATATGGGGTTTGTAGTTCTCACTGTCATGCGAAACCAAATTATGCAATACTTGTTATATTTTATACACACACATTACCTTCTGTTAACCAAAACGCATACAAGAAACAAACGCTAAGACACATCAACTTGCTCACAATGTTTCCAATCTTTAAAGCGCTTGTCAAATTTTGTATCCTGTTAACGTTTCAGACCAATGTTACGCCTTATTTTTCCAAATTTCAATGAGAATTCCCCCAGGGTTTTGCAAAATACTTTATGTCTTTAAGAAGCCGATTTTTCAAGGTCTCACCCGTTCGAGTTTGACACACTATGTATTTCTGGAAGTGGTGCATGTGTGAAAAAGTCACAAAATGAAACGTTTCTAACATTGAACTTAATTTTTCAGATTGTTTTATTGACATCTCCGCTTCCATACCAACAGAATAACGATGACATGAAATCCACAAATTAGGTGCTCATAAATAAACTGCAGGCCTACAAATTCTATGACAAGCTATACAGCGGTAGTAGAGGAGGGGAGGGGGGGATTCCGTGACACCTCGACCTCGGGGAGTAGTCCACCCCAGCGCCTCGTCCCAAATGTTCCTCGGTGCTGGGGAGGACTACTTCCTGTGGCCTCAGTGCCATAGAACCCCCACCTCCCCTACTACACGAAGGCCCTGTTTACAAGGAGGAAGGGTAACCCTTGCACTCGCACATTTCTTTTTTTACACGCTTAACCTAGCAAGGGGGGGGGGGGTACCCTACTTCCCTTGTAAACGCTCTGCTCCAGATAACTCGCCTACCCGGGACAACGTTCGTCCGTCATGCGTGACCAGTAATCTTCACCGTGACCAGTAATCTTGACTATTAGAAAGGAATTATCAAATTTTTGAGCTAAATTGTAATCGTCTGAACAATATAAGGTATTTTCTGTCTACGATGATAACTTCAAGTTTTATTTCAAATCTTGGACGTTACAAAAAATGTCACGCATGACGAAACACATCAATAAAGCTGGAAAAGTTGACCCGGGTGATGGGGTAACCCTACCTGTGAAATTTGCATGTAAACCAGAGCTAACTTTTACCTGCTTGCTAGGGTAACCCTAACACAAGGGTAAACCTCTCTCCTTGTAAACAGGCCCTAAGTGAAACAGCACATTGTTTGTGTGTAACAGCACGTTTACCGAGTGTAACACTACGTTGACTGTGCGGTGACTGCACGAGGGCGTTGACTGCGTGCGTGACTTTGCGTTGACTCTACGTGTGACGCTGCGTTGTTCGCAACCGGAAACCGGATCGAAACCTTGTGATTGAAGCGCACACCCAACTGTCGGCTATTCGTGGCAGAAGTAGAAACATTGTTTCAAGCACATCCAACGGAAACCGGCTCTAAAACACATACTGTTCCAACAGACGCCTCCAGAGAAAAGAAATAACCCTGTTACAGATATACAATTTGTACAGCATATAATGTCCATCTCAAACCAACCCTCGAAAGAGCTCGCAAAGAACTTTCAGGAGGATGTGGGACTATTTCTACAGGCTTCAGTTGAAAATAGCTTGTATAAACCAATACTCGAAAAAGAAAAACGAGGGTCTTCTTATTGACTTTTTTTATGAAATGATGGGAAAGAATGTGGTCGGAAAAGAAGAGTTAGAGAAAAACGCTTTATGATATGCTCGATGACATGGAAGAGTTGGAACTGATTGGTGATGTGGGGGTGGGGTTGTTTGACATGTTGGCACAGAGCGAAACTGCGGAGGAGAGTGAAGGGGAAGAGGTAGTCTCTTCGTTAACAGAGGAGGAAAAAGAAAAACTGTCCTCTTTAAAAACTCAAATGGACGAAATGATGAGAAGGGCTGCACGTCTCAAAAAAGATATTCAAGAAAGGATGAGAAAACGCCAACAAAAGTGCATTCGTTAAAAATTTTCGGGCAGGTAGGCGGTCCACAGCGAACACCGACGCAGCTCAACGGCAGTCACAAACAAAGAAGTGTGTGACTTTCCTAATCAGCCCTGAAATTCCGATACGACCCGAAAAAATGTTTGAGCAAAAGTTTCCTAGTGAAAAACTTGAAATCGGCTCGCATCGGAAAGCAGGGTCGCTCCAGAATGTAAATTATTGTTTGGCTTCACAAAATAACAAAAATAGGATTTCATCATCAGCGGTCATTTTTTTTTTTCTTTTCTTATTTTTGAATGTTTCCAATAATTGTTTTATTCCTAAAGGCTTTCATTCCTGAACTCTTAACTTTAAAAAGTTAAGCTAAAACATCAAACATAACCATACAAATTATTTCGTAATCGGGCATACCCCTACACATCGTAAATATGCTGTTCCGCAAGGATATTTTGGCTTACATCAACCGCGGGACTTTCCCTTTTGACATTTGCATCTCTGAAAAAGACTGCGCTTGAGCAAGCCGATTGTGACGTTTTAGAAACGATTGCCAAATAGAATCACTTTCCGACGTTTCACCAGAAGTCACTTAATCAATAATTTTCGTCCGAATCAGCAAATTCATTTACAGCGTGGTAAACCACAACAACCTCCTCAATCAATAAAATATCAATTCCAAGACCTCTGCGTTGTAAAAAAATATTTGACCCTTCTGAGCAAGTAATAATTTTTTTGTTGTTTTTTTTTTTGCTTTTCTCTGTATCTCCTATTAGTGCTTGTAAAAAAAAAACCATTATTTTTGATCAAGCCGCATTTTGGACAAAACATTTCAAATTCACAAGGGGCAATTCGCATTTTCACACTGCAAACGTGGCGCATTTAATAATTCGGGAAAAGGCGTTTTGCTTTCTTTGCACATGTCTGGCTGAAGGAGGATATGTTGTTTTCTTTTCTCATAAAGAACTCTCTGCAGAAGGAAACCTTTTCGCTTCCCCCAGCGCCAGCTGGCAGTGCCTGAGGTATTGTGTTACTATTGTATGCGCGCGCAGTTTTTCCTCATGTGTGTTAGAGTCCCTTAGTTTTGACGTTCCTGTTTCTTCAACATTAGAAACCTTAAGCATCAGGTTTTTCTTGGAAAACCGCAAACCGCAAACCACAAAATGTCCTGTGACCACGGTCTTGCAGTCGCCTTTGCAGTTTGCAGTTCACGTTTGAACGGCAGGAAGGGCTTCCAGCGTTAAGTGACTTACGGCAAGGTTTTTTGCCACTAAAAATTGAACAGCCTCGCGTTTAAAGGTACGAAATAGCTTTTTATATCCGTCTGCGATGTGTTTGTTAGATTTTTGATCTCGAATCATAACCTTTGAGTACATCAACATTTCGTTCTTTCTCACAGACTTGTAACAGCTACCGCCTATGTCGCACGGAACAATAAACCTCAGCCATCGCTTAAGCTTGATGTGGACACCACCCTACGCACCATCGTCCCCTGGCGTTACATGACCAAAACAGATCTCACCCGTGCCTTCTACCAGATCCCTCTTTCTAAGTCTTCCCTGAAGTACTGCGGTGTAGCCACACCCTTCCGAAGAATTCGCAGCTACATATGATCAGCTATGGGAATGCCTGGGTCCGAAACTGTTCTTGAAGAAATGATGTGTTGCGTTCTCGGTGACTTTAAACTTGCAGATGTGCTCTACTGTGGTGGCGATACCCCCGAAGCACTCCTGAACAACTGACGACGCGTACTCCAGGCCCTTTATCGTTGCAACCTTAGCTTATCTCCTAAAAGACTGTCATTTGTCCCAAGACCACCTCCATCCTAGGCTGGATACGGTCCCAAGGCAGGTTATCAGCTAACTCGCATCGTATCGCCGCCTTGGTATCGTGTCCTCCTCTTCCAACGGTCCTCAGTCGTGTGCTTGCTTCTCAACTGCTCAAACATCATTGATTCCCTAGAGTGCGCCCTCACTGGTCTTCAGTGTACAGAGAGATTTAAGTCCGTGCAGGATTTCTTATTTAACCACAAAGGCATAGTTATTCCTCGCCCTTCAGACACCCTCTGGATAGTAACGGATGGATCTGTTACCAGAAGAGGCCTCAGTGCCACATTGTACGTCTCACGTACCAATTAACTCCACTTAGCTGGCTTCTTCAGTGCCAAATTGTGAAAACACCAAGTCACTTGACTTTCATGCGAAGTAGAAGCACTGTCATTTGCTGCGCCCGTAAATCATTTCGCTCCATTTATTATTCAGTCTCAGCATCTAACGACCAGCAAGGTGATCGATATGGTCGTCAAAGTGGACGACGTAGAAGCTCTGCAAAAGGAGATATGGTACTTCGCTGCGAGCGCCTGCTGGCGGGTGCCAACGCTGCTCTGATCACATCCAAGCACGTCGATTTTAAGAAAGAACCTGAAAAGGAATCTGAAAAGGAGCCTGTCCAAGAGCCTTGCAATGAAGCTGACCACGAACCTGCAAATAGACTGCAAAAACTTTCATCTTATCATATACAACATGGCTGAGTAATCCGATGCACCTGCGGATGCGCCTCATGAAGCTCCAGAGCAAGTTTTGCCAAAAGTCCTCAAAACAAAACTTCGAAAAAACCCTGGGCGAGTTGCGACTGGAAAAAAGTTAGCTGAGCGTACCGGCGTGGCACGTGAGGCAAAAAAAAAAAAACATCAGAAGCTCCTGCTGAGCAAAAAGAGAGCGGCAGCGGCGGAGCCAACGAATATTTGCTTCTTGGCATAGAAGGAACGGCTGTCTCCGCTCTGGGCGTTTATTATCAGCGAAAGGCGAAACCCGGCTCCCAGCGAAACTGGGGCACCTGAGCCTTAGCAAAAGCCACCTCGCAATCTTCGCTCAGTGGATTAAAATTCTTTTGCATAATATATACAACCATGCTCAAAAGCGTGATTGAAAAAGCTGTTCTCGGGACGCCAACGCTTTATGGCCTATGGAGCTTTTATAATAATATCTTATTCTAAATCAATGAACAATTTTTACGTTGGGCGCCATCGAAGAGATGTTTCGACCACCTCGCGTTGATAAAAAAATGAAAAGCAGCCCCTTTCGGCCGAACGCATACAGGCGCCTGGCATGTGAGGAGGAGGAGGAGGAATAATTTTTCACACAAATATATACAACCATATCCGACAACAATCTCGTCAACACTGTTCTCGACGCTGCAACTCTTACCTGCCTGGCCGCCGGCATCGGCTGAGAAAAATCAAAGAAAACTTCACTGCCGACCGCAGCAGCAATGCAATGAGCTACGTGAAGTTCACCATCGTGACCCGAAACAATATCTCGAGGATCAAAGACTCCTCCCTCGACAAAGCTCTCGAAGCTTACCAGGCTTCTTATGCCAAATATGAAAAAGAACAAACAAAAATGCTAGACTGGATCGGAACGCAGGGCGGAAACAAAGAACTGACCAAACAAAACTTAACGAACACCGACTAAGCCTTCAAACTCTACAGCCGGGTGCACGAAGTTGAGCCCAGCGCTCTGCAAAAACAAGGCGAGTTAATTTTTGTTGGCACCGGCGCTCTTGCGCTCAGATACGCTGCCTTTCTATTTTTATAAATAAATAACGTCAAAGAAATCCTCATAAAGAATTTGTTCATTAACCCCACCCCCCTGTAGTCTATTTCTTCACGTTTTTGTGCAACTAACTTACATTTATTAAATTTACCTTCAATTTCATCCTATTCTTTTTGGAATTGACCCTCTCAATCGTTGTCGGTGAAAAACCTGTGTCCTCGTATTCCAGCTCGGCGAGCACTATTTCCATTAGGAATTGCACAATGAGATGATCAAAAAGTGTGCTTTGCCATGCTTCTGGCACATTTACACCAAGAAAACCAGAAAGTTTCCAGCCTTTCAGGCCATCGATGACTTCTTTCTATTGTTTCCGCCACTTCTTTGTAAACCATGATTTTTTTTCTTGCATTTTCGGTAGCAGCGTGTCCCACTGACTCCCCATTTCTATTTTTTACATATGTTCAATATAGAAATGACCGATCTTCTGACTCTGGATATCTTCACAGTGCTAAAGGTCTGCTGGATGACCGCACTTGCGGCTGCGATTGTCTCGATTAAGCCTCGAGACATTGTTTCTTTTGCCGGGGAAGGGTAAGCCTTGTGCATGAAAATGCGCAACTGGTGCGTGACAATGCTCTTTTTCCTTGCTGTTTTCGTGACGCTCACCGCGGTTTTGGCGAATTTGGCTGTTGTTGGCCAGCTGAAGTTTTCGATTCGTAACAAAGAATCAAAAGTTCGAACTGTAAATTAGTATGGGATGAACGAGAAACTTTCAAAAACTTACTACAGCCTCAAGGCTACTGGAAAGGCATCGCCGCCATCATAAAGTTCGCGAAAATGATGCCAAAAAAGTGGACTGATAAGCCAAGCCCTTTGGCAAATATATCTTCCTGCTCCAAAAACACATTCCTCGCCCCAACGATGTGTCTGCGCAAAACGCCAGGCAGACCTTTTTTGTCGTCGACACGAAACTGTGGGGCGTGGTCGAGGCCGAAAAACATACAAATACGCTTTGACCGTCGTCGATGTGGCCAGCCTTTTCAAAGACGCTGAACCATTGACCTCGAAAGACTCTGCTAAAGTCGCGAGCGTTTTTCAGAACATTAATTTACAAACGCAGGCCTTTGAAACGGTCAGAGCTTTTGCAAGTGTACCCGGGCGCGAGTTCATCGGCGCTGTCACCAAAGAGATGAAAAACACAAAACAACATTCACAGACCAGGCGACCCTGGAAAAATTTAACCGCAACCTTGCTGAGCGCATGTTCGGCCACCAGTATCTTCCGAATGGTTAGTTCGGCTTCCTGCTGTGATCTCCGCCCTGAACGGCGCAGTATGAAAAATCTGTCACCAAACCAGATGAATCTGTATTGTTTTATTTACAGGACGGGGCCAAACGGGGCCTTCCAGGTGAGGAGTTGTTGGTTGTACCCCCTACCTCTGTTCTGCCTCCAGCAAATCCAAAACATAATCATAACGCTCTGCGGCTGTCAATCGGTATCCATCTGCAAATGTGGCAATGCCATCTCGTCTTTCATATTGCCCAAGTTCTTTTTGTTTGGGCTGCTGTAAACCGGGCGGTCTTTGGGGTGATCACTTGTGTCATACAGTTCCTTTTTGCTGTTCTTGTCGTTTTAGAAATCGTCGATTTCAATCTACAGCAAGAGGCTGTCTGTGTCAGTATAGAGAAGCTCACACTTGTGACTGCACTGGCTTTTGAGCTCGTTGTAGCAAATCGTAAATCAGTATTTTTCTGTTGTGGAGAATCGTCATCGCGGCATAAACAGGCTTGTTCAGTTTCGCACACTCCTTGTGTATTTTGAAACCAGCAAGATCGTTAGAAAACAGTGTGCAACCGGCAAACAGAGGACTAGCAATCAGCTTGCGAATCTTTTCCCTTTCGTCACTGCGAATTATTTGATGTTAACGCGCTCCTGCATGTTCTCCATCGTTTTCCCGAACACGGAGTTGTTCATGAGTTTGCAGAAGTTCCTCTCGAATTCATTTTTGGCCTGCTTCCAGAATTCTGTGTTCATCTTTCTCGTCTTGTGGCAACTAAATAATAACTTATAGCACCATCAAAATGAATAAAAATTCGGACGTTATAAACCGATACGTTTCTTCACTTCGAAGTTTTGCTTCTTTAAAGAAAATCCTTTGGTAAGACACAGAGGACACGACAGTTACTACTAACAAAGGCGCAAAATTGCCCTCGATTTGCCGATTGCACGATCGACCGTTACAGACCTTACCGTAAGCGCTCCAATTCCCTTTAAAAAGTCTGGCTCTCCAACAAAGAGTTTCATTTTTTAATTCTTTGAAAAGCTCCCTTCAAATAATAGCGATAGAATACATTACGCGCAAAATTTAAACATCCGAACAGTGCTAGAACAGCAAACACGACCTCGTGCGTTGCAACAAAATATAGCAATCGTTTTAAGCCAGATTACACATTACTTATATTAACTCGAAACCAGCTTCCCTCGGTTGTAAAGGAAGGAACGGAGGCAGGAGCCACGGTCATGGAACAAGGAGTAAACTTGTTGGCCAATTTCCCTCTTTCGTCGCCATTTTTTTCTCATTCTGGAAATATGAGGACGTCCTCAAAACACATTAATTTCGCAGGAAAGCCTGTTCTAAAAATAATTCTTTACGGGAATGAGTTGACTCAAGTGTACAGCACATATGGATTCTCCAAGTAATCGGCTTCTGCTCCGACCCATTTTCGATGTAGCTCTCAATTTTGTTGTTGACTTCGTTCGTGAAGTCCATCACGTTTTTCCTGATTTCGTTTTGGTTTTGGTTTTCAAAAACGCGTGCCTTGTTTGTTAATGTAATGATCAAATGCGGTCATTCTTAATTCTTCATTCTCATACCCAGGGACTGTATTTCATTTCTCAAGACATTGATGAACCTATTTTCGTTTTTTGCAGCAAAATCAAAACTATCTCTGTTCTCTCCGTTTGGAGCGTCTATTTTCCATACATGTAGCCATTCTCCAAAATCTGTTCTAGCCTGCCAAAAAAAGATCCTTGCAGGTTAGAGTGGGTTGGGGAGGTTTTCCCCGTCAACTGAGCCGTAAAACATGTGCAGAAAATTGTTCTGAAAGCGTTCGGCAGCCATCAAATATATGTACCGAGACAATTGTATATCTCTAACTGGGTTATTTCTCTTTTCTTGAGGCGTCTATGGTAACAGTAAGTGTTTTCGAGCCGGTTTCCGTTGGATGTGCTTGAAACACAATGTTTCTAATTCTTCTTCTAATAGCTGACAGCTGGATGTGCTATTCAAACACAAGGTTTCGATCCGGTTTCCGGGTGTGAACAACGCGGCGTCACACGTACAGTCAACGAAGTCATACACGCGGTCAATGCACATGTGCAGTCAAAGCACAGTCAACATGGTGTTACACACGGTCAACGCACCGTTATACACAATCAATGTGCTGTTTCTCTTAGAGTAATATGGGAGGTGGGGGTTCTGAGGCAGCTCGTCGTCGGGAAATAGTCCTTCCCAGCTCCGAGGAATATGTGTCACAGAACCCCTACCTCCCCTACCACTACAGCTAATAAGATCATATTTCCAGGGGAGAGGGAATAGAGTAAGGATAGGTTCTGTAACAAGTGACTGGGTTGTGGTGAAGAGAGGATGTCCGCAGGCGTTTGGACTTCTAATGTGGAATTTTTCTCCTGAATGATATGCCTAACATAATATCAGATGCCAACGTTTCAATGTATGTGGATGATCATCAGGTCTTTGTAGCAAAGGAAACAAGGAAGAGCGTGGAGAAGATACTGTGGACAACCGCGAGACTGGATGACTAAATGATATCAAGATAATCTTTTAATAGTCAATTGTGATAAATATCAAGCCATGGTTTTGGAAAATCCAAAAGAAAAAAAGGAACGTTGATCTGGATAAATGTGACGAAAAAGTGGAACAGACAACATACGGTCGAAACAAACAGAAAGCATGCAG